CCAGTGGCCATGCTCTATATTCCAGGCACTCCTGACTTATCCCAACACTACACCAGATTTTAAACTGTATTACAGAGCTGTAGGCATAAAAACAACATGGTACTGGCACAAAAATAGACCCATAGATAAATGGAACAAAACTGAATACCCAAATATGAGTACATGCAATTTCAGCCACCTGATATTTGACAAAGGGGCCAATAATATTCACTGGAGGAAAGACGGCATGTTCAGCAAATGGTGATGGCAAAACTGGATCTCCACCTGTAGAAGAATGAAACTAAACCCCTATCTTTCACTGTGCACAAAAGTGAATTCCAAATGGATCAAAGACATCAATGAAGCCTGAAACTCTGAAACTGTTAGAAGAAAGCACTGGCAAAAACCTACAAGATATAGTTATAGGAAAGGATTTTCTAAACCAGACATCAATTGCCTAGGAAACAAAGTCAAGAATCAACAAATAGGACCTTATTGAACTAAAAAGCTTCTGTACATTAAAGGAAGCAACCAGGGAAGTGAAGAGAAAACCCACAGAGTGGGAGAAAATCTTTACCAGTGACACATCCAACAGAGGTTTAACATCTAGAATATATAATGAACTCTAAAAACAAAGAATCAAGAAAGGAAGCAACCCAATTAAAATATGGGGTAAGGACCTGAACAGAGAGTTCTCAAAAGAAGAAATAAAGATGGCTAAGAATCATCTTAAAAGATGTTCAACATGACCGTAATTAGGGAAATGCAAATTAAAACCACTTTAAGATTTCATCTTAGCCTAGTCAGACTGGCTAAGATCAAGAGAACAAATGATACCAAATGTTGGAGAGGATGTGGGGAAAGGGGAACACTCAGCCACTGCTGGTGGGACTGCAAACTGGTTCAACCCCTATGAAAAGCAGTGTGGAGAACTCTTAAAAAACTACAAATGAACCTACCATTTGACCCAGTTATACCACTCCTTGGCATATATCCAAAGAACTCATCCTATTGCAGAGACACTTGTACATCCATGTTTGTTCCTGTTCTTTTCACAATAGCTAAGAGATGGAAGAAACCTAAGTGTCCCTCAACTGATGACTGGATAATGAAAAGGTTGTTCATTTATATGATGGAGTTTTACTCAGCAGTAAAGAAAGATGAAGTCATGAAATTTGCAGGTAAATGGATGGAACTAGAAACTGTTATACTAAGTGAAGTAACAGACTCGGGAAAACAAACAAATAAACAAACAAACAAAAACACGATGTATGTTCTCCCTCATATCTGGATCCTAGCACCAAATCCTGATAAGTGATTATGTATCCAGATGATAACTACAGGAACCAGGATAATGAAAATGAACCAGGAAGGTAAAGGAAAAGAATGAATCTGAAAGAGAACAGTAGGAAACAGGCATTAATAAGGGAGATATGGATAAAAATTGGGTTAGTTTAAGGGAGGGGGCAGGGAAGGGTATACAAGGAAACTAGGGGATAAAGGGGAAGAAGGAGCTCAAAAGAGGTAGGACCATAGGAGAAGGGTATTATTAGAGGAGAAGGGAAAAATGGGGGCACCTTAATTGGGGAAACCATGATGAAGGGGTGAGACAATGCGAGAGATAAATAATGCCTAGATAGTTTTAAAAACCAGAGGGAACCATATTAGTCCAACAACCTACTGACAAATTATACATACCAGATCAAGAAATATATGTCTAGGCCAGATTTATCTGAGAACAATTGGTCTTTGCCCAAGCTTTATCTACATGGCACATGGTAATTAAAAGTACCAGATTGGTGGAACTAACCCTTTTTGGATTTTTAACAGCCATACTTTAAGGCCTATACTAAATTGGTCAGAGGAACATAAAGGACAGTTTTTGCTCCTTGTCCTCCTAGGTTGACTAGTTCCAGGGAACTATGAGCATCTCTCAAAATGTCCTGTAACTGGTGAATCACCTGTCCTCTTGATCAAGGAGGCTGTGAAGACCCCACAAGATGGACTTGAACCAGTGTCTAGTCTACAAAGAGGAGGGTCAACACAGAAGAATCATTTCCTCCGTGCTTCCAAGCAAAGCAGGCCATGGTCGAGTAGGACCTTTGACATCTTCACATAGGCAGAACTGGTAAAAGAAAGGAGCCAGTGGCTCCTCCCAAGCCCATTTGACCCCTGAGGAACAGATCCTAAAACAGCCTTAAGAGTAAAAATAAATTGGTTTATCTGGGCCAACTGTATGGCCTTAAACACCCAAAAAGGAAAGTATAACCAAAGATTAAAGGGGCCAATGTAATTTCTTAAGAGTCCATATGTTTAGCTAAAGGCTACATAACAAGCAACGATACCAGATAGGAGATACCTTCTTTTGAGATGTTGGCCAGGGTGGCCCAAGAGACTCTCAGATAGTAACCCAGCATAGAACTGGGAAAATGAACAGCAGACCCCAATCTTATCTAAAGGAATATAGACAACTGATTGCTGCTAGATGAGGAACAGCTGACCTTCCTAAAACAAAGACCTCTAGATAGGCTAACTAGATTCACCAGATGGACAAGTACTGGGGAACGGCTGGGGGTGCCAACAACACAGCAGACAGTAGCAGGGAAGACAAAGTAAAAGGGGTCTAGTCGGGGGGGGGGCTGTGGGAGGGTGTCATCTGGGAAGTGGGTGTATAGACCAATAAGATCATTTGGGATGTTCTGTGTGATATACACATAAAAAAATCAACAAATTTAAAAAATGAGTTATAATTGAGGAGGAAGCATAAAAATGTACATCATGTGGAGTAGTAGAGGTGATAAACATTACCACTGAAATCTACCCAATGAGTTTATATCCATACACAGGTGCCAAAGAACTGAGTGCAACAGACCATGACTAGTAATAATCAGATACATAGATTAGAGATGCATGCACCAACATCTAAGTGTTATTAGCAAAAACAATGAGTATTTCTGTAAGAAACAGTATATTTTAAGATGAAATGGAGATCTTTTTTAAAGGTTAAAAACTCAATTTTATGTCTTACAGGGTTTATACTGAGTTCAACATTGTATAACTGTATTAATTCAACTGTGAACCTAAAAACTATAGCCACTTTTGAAAGAGATGTATCTTTGCTATGGAAATTGTTATTGAGTATGTCAAAGCTGTAATGAAATACTTCTTCTAAAAAATAATAAAAAGTTAATAAAAAATAAAATATTTAGGAAAAAAATTAAAGATTTCCATAAAGATTAAAAAATGTAAAAAACTGCTTTTAACAACGTAGGTTGTTGATAAAACTGAGCTTTGATCTTAGATCTGCAACTTATTTCTGTAAAACTTAGCTCTGTTTAAAAAATACCAAAACTCTGGCAGTTGCATTTTAATTCTAAGTGAAAGAATTAAAACGCTTTTTAAGGTTGCTATGGAAATAAGTGAAACACACATTTTAATATTTAAAACAGAATATGTATTACCTCAATTAGCACTAAGAATATGTGTATTATTTTGTTAATAGTGTTATTGACTCCACTAAGAAACAATGCTCCATAAATTTTTTCATGTATTTCATGGTTGACAAAGTATTATGGAATGGCAAACATTCCCTTGAAGTTAGAAATAATACTTTACAGATATTTAGAAACTTGTGTTCCTTCGAGTCATTCACTTATATTGAAAGATTAATGACCCTAGACATGTGCCCCATCCACCCAGACAAATTTCCGTGTAGCCCACCAGCATTTTAGTCACCTGTATGCCTTTCCTTCACTTCTGTGAGCAGAATTTGTCATAGCAGTTGTGGCTGATGTAACTACCACCATACAAGGGGCCATGTCTCATAATTTGGGATTTTTAACTTAAAAATTGATTGCTTACTCACCTAAACTTCCGTATATCATCATTTATAGAATTAGACCACAGGGAAAAAAAAAAGAAAAACCAATGTAGATGTTTATTAATGCTTATGAATGTTCCTAGGATTATTTTTTTTGTAAGGCCCTCATGCATGCTAGGCAAACCACTGAGTTCCATCACTGTCTTTTCCCATTTTTAAAAAAACTTACCAGCTATAGTCTCTCTAAACTACCTAGGCTAGCTTTCCAGCTTGTATATTCCTACCTCAGCCATCTGAATAGCTGAGATTACAGGTCCAAATCATACCACTCAGTCTATGTTTAAGTTTATGAATGAACTCCGAAGCCTGAAAACTTTACGATGTCCTGACAAAAGATTTCAAGGGAGTATTCTAAACAAAATTCGGTGTTTTGCTCTCCTTTCCTACATTTTCTCTACGAATTTATTGAAAACTTGGTTTATTTCAACATCGTTTAAAAAAAAAAGATTTTTAAAGGATTTTTAAAGATTTGTTTTTATTTGAGTGTTTGCATGTATGTGCACCTTGTGTGTGTCTGGTGGTCACAGACACCAGAAGAGGGCTTTGGATTCCCTGGACTGGATTAACAGACAGCTCTGAGCTGTGCTGGAACCTGTGCCCTCTGCAAGAGCGGCAAGTGCTCCTAAAAGTCTGAACCCCCTGTAATCATTTTTAAGCCGGCACTTAGTTCAATGTATTACTTCCTTAGGTTTATAAACTGTGGGTACGAATTTATAAACACAAGCTGTTTTGTATATGATTTGTAGAGCATATGGTGAAATGCGCTAGAAATAGAAGCAGGAAGTCTTTTTTCTTCTCGGTTTAAAGGCATAAACCCTAGGACCTCCAACACGCACAGAAGATTTGATGGATACAGGAAGAGACTTTGTACTGCCACCGAAGTGAAGCAGTGGCTATGTAAATTTAGAGGCATTCAAGCAAGGTACTGGTAAAGGTTTGTAATGCTCCAGGCCCTTTTGCTTTCCCCTGCTGGGTAACAGCGGTTGCTCGCGGCAGCTCGCGGCACCCCCGAATCCCCGGCGGGGATCTGGCGGCCTAGCGTAGGAGGTAACCAAAAACCACAATTCCCAGAGTGCCTCGCGCAACCAGCGCGCGCGCGGCCGCCCCCGCCCCAGTCCCCGGGGTTCTGAGGGGCCAAGGCTCCGCGGGGTCGCGCACGAGCGCGCGTGTCCGTGGGGTGTCAGCGGGGCTGGAGCAGCGCGGGCAGCGGCAGGGAGGCGCCAGGGCTCAGGAGCCAGGTGTCGCGGCTGCAGCCGTGGCGGCTGGCGCGGACTGCGAGGTAACCGCCGCGCGTCTTCCCTCTCGTCCGCCTCCTTTGTGCGGTGCGGTCCGCGCCAAACCCTCAGCGCCGGGTACCGCCGCGCAGAACTCGAGCCTCGAACGGCCACCCGAACTCCATATCGGCGAGGGGTTGGGTCGGCGAGAGCCGCCGAGGCTGGTCCTCAGGGGACCCGCGCCGCCCGCTCTTTCGGGGCGAGAGGCGCGGCAGGTGCTCGGCTGGTCGGGGCCGGCGAGGGTTCGAGGTCCGGGAGGGCGGCCAGCGGGGGTTTCCTCTCCCAACGGGGTATTCCCCTCCCGCCGAGTGTCCCTCCCAACGAGATGTCCTTTCCTGCTGGGGTACCCCCTCCCAACGGGGTGCCCTCTTCTGCTGGGACAACCCCTCCCGCCGGGTGCCCCCTCCTGCTGGGGTGCCCCCTCCTGTTGGGGTGCCCAGTCCTGCGGGGCGGGGGTGACGTTGCTCGCCCAGCGTCCCGCCCTGGTGCTGGCCGGCCCCGCTGCCGTTCAGCTGCGCAGTGCTGCAGACCCTAGTGCAAAAGTGCCTCCCGCTGGGACACCAGAAACCGCAGCCCCTTTCAGCTGGCAGCTGGGCGGTGGAGTGCTGACGGCTGTAGACTCCCTCCTCACGGTTCTGGGCTGAGCTTGCGGGTTTCTTTAGGGAGGGTCCAGGATTTGTAAACAGTTTGCGGTTCCTAGTTGTTGCATGGACTTGCACAGTCTTAACGTGGAGGTGCCGGGATTTGGAAAGCTTGTTATGCTTTTTTCCCTCTAGGCAGTGTTTAATCTCACGATTTTCACAGAAATCTTAGTATTTTTGAATATTTCTTTTAATTTGCTTTAAGTACATATTGTGCTGGATTAGTGTCTTTGTCAACCTGACACAAACTAAAGGCACCTGGAAGAGAGAACCTCAATTGAGCAATTTCCTCCCTCCCACCGGACTGGCTTGTGGGCATGTCTGGGAGGCATTTTCTGAATTGTTGAGCGATGTAAGGGCCTAGCCCACAGTCCATCCCTGGGCAGGTGTGCCTGGGCTATTCAAGAAAAGGAGCAGAATAAACCAGGGGGAGCAAGCCTGTAAGCAGTGCTCCTCCATGGTCTCTTCAGCTCCTGCCTCTAGGCTCTTGCCTAGTTTCTGCAGTGGCTTCCTGCAATGATGGACTGCCGCTTGAAGTGTAAGATTCAATAAACCCTTTCCTCCCCGAGTTGTTTTTGGTCAGAGTGTTTTATCACAGCAATAGAAAGCAGATATATACTTTTATATATTCTTACCTTGAACTAATGTTAGCATTTTGGGAAACGATCTTACAACCTGGTTTGCCACAAGTATTTTAACTGCAGGATACACTTGGTCTTCCCCACCTCCCTCCCTTCCCTCCCTCTGCTTCTTTCCCTCCCTCTCTCCCTCCCTCTCTTTCTCTTTGCAGCTTTTTGTTACATTAGCCAATAATTGTTTTGAATCTTTGAATTATCTCTCTAGAGGAAATTCCCTCCCTTCTGCTAAAGGATTGGTGGCATATACTTGGGCCAGCAAAGGACTGCTGCTAACTACTGCTGGTGCCTGTAAAACTCCCTGAAGGTAGCTTTGGCATTAGCTGTTGCTTTTCTTCCCATTTTCTCCTGGTACCTTCTTTGGTTTGTCAAATTAACTGACTCACTTATAACTTATAGTTACATTGCCTTTAAGATACCAAATAGCAGACCCCAGTCTTAGCTAAAGGAATGTTGGCAATTGATTGCTGCTAGATGAGGAAGAGCTGATCATCCTAAAACAAGGGACTCTAGATAGACTGACTAGACTCAGCAGATAGACTTGTACTAGGGAACAGCTAGGGGCACTGACACAGTGAACAGTAGCAGGAATGACAGAGTATATGGGCTCCAGTCAGGGGGAGGCTATGGGAGGGTGCCATTTGAGATGTGGGTATAAGGATGAATAAGATTGATTGGGATGTTCTGTATGAAATACACACAAAAAGTCAATTAAAATAAGGTACCAAATAGAAACACAAATATAAAAAAATCTCAAGACTATTCAGCTGCATGCACTTAGTTTCATATTTATTTACTTCCGGTCACTCTCTCACATTCACTCACCAGGGCCTGTGCATGCTAGGCAAGCACTGCACTACTGATCTACATCACCAGTCCTCAGTTTCACATTTAAAACTGTTCTTTTGGCATTTGATAAAATTGCTGTTAATAGTTTTTAAGGTGATCTATAATAATTACAGATTCTAAGTGAAAATCACAATGAGTAATTTGATTTTTTTTCTCTTTAAAATGAAAGGGTAGATAAATTTTGATCACATTCCATTGAGAAATGCAAGTTTTTAGGGCAGTTGTAAATTCACAACAGAATTAAGCAGAAGTTATAGTTTCCCATATAACCCCTGTCCCTAGAGAAACAACCTCCAGACTGTCAGATCCCCTCACCAGAGCAGTGCATTTGTTACAGTTGTTACCCATACTGACATTTCATTATCACTCAAAAACCCATCCATTACATTAGGGTTCAGATAGCTTTATTTAGGGACTGAGGCAGTAACTATGTTTGAAAGAGCATTTGCCTAGCATACACGAAGCCCTGGGTTAAATCCCCAGCACTGCACAAATTGGTCATGGTGATGCATGCCTGAAATCTCAGGACTTGGGCGTTGGAGGCAGGAGTTCAAGGTCCTTCACAGCTATACCGAGTTTGAGGCCAGCCTTGATTATATGAGACTGTCTCAAAAAAAAATTAATTAAAAAATGGGTATTTAACTTTTAATTTTCTTATATTTGAGTTCTCAACAAAGAAGAATTTATTCTTTGTGTATGAAGAACTAAAGACATGAGCAAAAACAAATGTTTCATAGAACAGCAAAATGCCAAGAGTTTCATTAGCATAACTGTATCTTTTCTGAAAAAATGTCTTATTTTAACGAAGCAAGAGGAAATTGAATATTTTAAATTTTTTAATGAAAATTTTAGAGTGCTGGAGGTCAAACCTAGTTGAATATTTTAAGTACATTCATTTTTGTTTTTTAATGGCATGTCTGCATTTCACATGTGGTCTGTTAAACTTTTGTTGTTAAAGTCTTTGTTCTGAGGAAGTATCAGGATATAACAATGTACTGAGCTCACTTCTGGAATTAGTAATGGATTAGAATCTCTGCTCTCCACTCATTGGCTGAGTAATCATGGCAAGTTGTTATCTGAACCTCTAGTTTCTTAGCTGTGGAAGAGAGATAAAAATAATACCTTATGCCTCTGTCTTCCTGGAATTGTAAGGATTAATCATCATTATATGTGGAAGCATTCTATGTTCCATAATCTATTATAATATTCATTAATATTGCTAGACACTGTATTTTAAAATGCTGCCAGGACAGTTTATTATCTGGTGAATAGTGCTTTGTAAATACTGTCACCTTTGTTTAATTTTTTTGTGTGTTTGAACGTTGGTTGTACAAAAAACATTATTTGATTGCTTCTTTGCTTTTTGGCTAAGATCAAGTGGAGACTAAATTATTTGTTTATGAATGATTTAGTCAGTTCCCATAAATCAGAGGAAGACTTATGAAAGGACTGGAGACACCTTGAGAATTTTGTTCACTGCCTCTGTGATTCTTTCCCTGAATCTGTGGGCATCCCTACAAATAGTCTTCCAGGAACCCAAGAATTCTGTGTATATTTGTATTTTCTGGTCAGTAAAATCCAGATTCAGCAGATACTGAAAAGGCATTCATGATCTTCTTCCTTCAAAAGGTTCTTTTTTTATTTATGTTGAGACAACATTTTTGTGCCTGGGCTACCTTGAAGATCAGCTCCTCCTGGCTCAGCCTCCCAAGTAACTGGGATTACAGGTACCCACCACCACACGTGACTGGAAGACTGGAATGAAGGAGGGTGCTGAGTGTTGAACGCATGGCTTTGCACGTACCAGGCAAGCACTCTACTACTGAGCTATACTCCTTACCCTCACCTGGATTCTAAGAACCACTAGCTCAAATTATCTAGGCACATTACTAGAAAGCATGCAGATTATTGCTAAAATGGGGTGGGCAGGGGGTAGAGCACAGAAAAGAGAAAACAGGTAATATTTGGAGTGGAATGCTTGTTTTTCTTCCAGAGTAGAAGTTAATGTTATGATACAGTACCTTCTGGAGGTAACACACTGATTGCTCCATTATCGTTAGGCAAAAACTGTCTATTCCTGCCTTCCCTGCCAGCTTGGATGAACATTAGAGTAGATGGGAGAGTGTGGTATTGTGACAGCCCAGCATGTTTGAATATTCAAAGTGCTAAAAGATAATTTGATTCATTCTAAAATGTGGACATTCTTGTTCTCAGCTAATAAAAATCTTCTTGCCTTCCAAAATCTATGTAGTATGCTTATTATTATATAATATTTTGTATGTCCAAAAGTATAAAGTTTTATTAAGTCCTTATTATGATCATTTTGACATTCAGTATTGCTGTATGCAGTATTGGAAAGAATGTGGTTATGTATGTTTTATAGAAATTTATAACTTGCTTATATAGACCTATCACTAGATTATAGTTTATGATTTTAATTTATAACAAAATTAATCTTTGAAAATTTCAGAATTAGAATATAATTCTAAGTTAAAATTAATTCTTAGAATTCAGAAGCAAGCTACATCTAAATGCCCTGTTTTCCTTGTGTAGTGATATATTGCTGTGCCTTATAAGGCTTTAAAGTGTGAAGCCAACTTCTGTTTGCAGATCAGTTACCAATAGCATTCACAAGGCTTAGAGAGAGAGCATACAGCAGATCAGGTAGTACTGTGCACACTCATGAATGAATGGCCTCACTGGAGTACTATATTTTTCTTTGGACTCTTTCCCTCTTTGGTACTGGGCAATATTTTTATTTTTGAAATATGAATGCTTTTCAGAGTTCAAGATTCATAAGTTTATAAGTACTTGAAATTTTATGGAATAAATTAGAAGAACTGTGGTTCTCTAAACTCTGAGAGGTTTATACTGATCAAA